ACCATTTTTCCCCTGAAGGATTATGCTCAATTTTGCTGGGTAGGTGATTCTTGATTGTAATTCTAGCTCCTTTGCCCTCTGGAATATCATATTCCAAGTCCTCCAGTCCTTTAATGTAGAAACTGATAAATCTTGTGTTATACTGACTATGGCTCCATAAAACTTGAATTATTTCTTTCTGGTGGCCTGCAATAGTCTCTTCTTGACCAGGGAGCTCTGGGATTTGGCTATAATATTCCTGAGAGTTATCATTTTGGGATCTCTTTCTAGAGGTGATTGGTGGATTCTTTCAATTTTTATTTTACACTGTGGGTTCCAGAATGTCAGGGCAGTTTTCCTTGATAATTTCTTGAAAGAAATTTAAATTTCTAGGCTCTTTTTTTATCATGACTTTCAGGTAGTCCAATAACTTTTAAATCATCTGCCCTTGATCTATTTTCCAGGTCAGTTGCTTTTCCAATAAGATATTTCATATTGTCTTCTATTTTTTCATTCTTTTGGTTTCGTTTTATTGTTTCTTGATTTCTCATAAAGTTATTAGCTTCCATTTGCTCACTTCTAATTTTTAATGAATTATTTTCTTCAGTGAGCTTTTGTACCTCCTTTTCTATTTGGCCAATTCTAAGTTTTTTTTCTTCAGTGAATTTTTGTGCCTCTTTTTCCATTTGACCAATTCTGCTTTTCAAGGCATTCTTCTCCTCATTGGCTTTTTGTGCCTCTTTTACCATTTGGGCTTAGTCTGTTTTTAAGGTGTTATTTTCTTTAGTATTTTTGTGTGTCTCCTTTACCAATCTATTGACTCTTTTTTGTGATTTTCTTGCTTCACTCTCATTCCTCTTCCCAACTTTTCTTCTGTCTCTCTTACTTGACCTTCAAAATCCTTTTTGAGCTTTTCCATGGCCTGAGACCAATTCGTATTTTTCTTGGAGGCTTTGAATGTTGGAGCTTTGATTTTGTTATCTTCCTCTGATTGTGTGTTTTGATCTTCCTTGTCACCATAGTAACTTTGTATGGTCAGAATTTTTTTCTGCTGTTTGCTAACTTTTCCAGTCCATTTCTTGACTTTTACTATTTGTTAAAGTAGGGCTCTGCTTCCAGGGTAGAGGGCTCACTGTCCCGAACTTCAGGGGTTTTGTGCAGCTGTTTTCAGAGATACTTCTAGGGACCTGTAAATTTTTAGTTCTTGCAAGGTGGTATGATCTAAGGAGAGGTTCATTTACTACTTTCCTGTCTGTGCTCTGGTCTATGAGCGACCACAAGCACTCTTTTCTGCCCTAGAAACATGACGAAGGTCACTGCTCCACTGTGGCGGCAAGCTCTGCTATGCTAATGCTCCTCCTCACCCTGCACTGCCACCCAGGACTATGACCCAAATCCAATTATGGGCAAAGCAACAGAGTCGTGCCTCGGTGCTAGCAAAGAGCCCCCTGTAATCTCCTTCTGACCCCCTTACTGTCTATGGGCTGAGACTCCAGAAGCAGCTGTGGCTCCCAAGGCCTGCTCCTGGTTTGCTGGGGCCAGGGCTGTGCTGGCATGGTCTGTGCTGGACGGGGCTCCACTCTCACTCAAGTGCAACAGATCTTTCCTGCTAACCTTCTAAGCTGTCTTCAGCTGGAAAACTATTTCATCCTATCCTTTCTTGGGTTCTGTGCTCCGGAAATTAAAGGTGTTCGCACGGGTTTGGGGGAAAGCTCAGGCCAGTCGCTGCTTTTTCTCTGCCATCTTGGCTCTGCCTCCTAAATTTGATAATTGTTTAAAAAAAAGATTTAAACAATTTGATAAATTTGATACAGATTTAAACGGCTGCCACAGTGGCCATGTTTTATATAATATTCCATATCATTCAATCCATGCCTCTCTACATTAGTTTTCTGGGACTAAGACTGTTCATTAAAATTCATCAGAATTCAGCTGCTTTCATGGGGTTTTCCATCATTTCTGTACTCCCTATGTACAGTATATTATTATAGCTTAAGAAATGGAAGGGACCATAAAGGTCAGCTAATCTAAAACCCTAATGTTACAGATGGGGTCCAGAGAAAGAAGTTAAATGACCTTCCCAAAGTCACACAGATAATGACAAAGGTAGGATTTGAATTCATGCCCTCTGGCTCTAAATCTGGTACCACAGAGGACATGAGTTCAAATCCTAGCCTTGGCACTTATGTGACCTTGGGTAAGCAAGTCACTTCTCTTGCCTGGGCCTCAGTTTCCTCATTTATAAAATGAGTGGGTTGAATTCAATGGACTCTAAGTCCCCTTTCTTACTCTAGTCTGTGATCCTATCAAATGAACATCCCCAGTGACTGACCATAACACTGAAAGGTGGCCAGACTCTGGTTAAGCTGTAACAGCTGCTTTTGTCCTCCTGGTTCTGCATTATTCCACTACACATCAATTCCTACATGTCTTCTCCCAACTCTCTGAACTCCTCATAATTTTTGTATTCCATCATATTCAACCATCACCATCAGTTCAGCCCCTCCCCCAATGAGGGACAGCCACTGGATTTCCAGTTTGTTGCTAGCAGAGTTACTATAAATATTTTCGTATATACGAACCCAACCTTTCTAGCCTGGTCTAGCACCCTACATGTATGTTACAGGTTGGTGACACTGAAGTCCAGCTGTTCCCTGAACACACACACACACTTGCCCACTTCGATATTTTTACTCCTGATATCCTGGGCGCCTAGAATTCCCTTTGCCACCACATTCCAAACCAATCAATCAGTAAGAATTTATTAATTTATTTATTAACCAAAAAAACCACTATGAAAAGCAGTGTTGTGTGATGGAGAGACAGCCTTGAAGTCAGGAAGAACTGGATTCAGGTCCCGCCTCTGACATATCCTGCCTGTGTGATCCTGAGCAATTATCTTCACCTCTCAGGCTTCGAATAGCAGCAAAAGGGCTGACCTGCACTGGTAAAGGGAGTTTCCTCATCTGGAAGTTCCTATGCTAATGAAATCATGGTTCCAATCCCTATCACAATGCTAAGCCCTAGGGACGGAAAGACAAAAATGAACCTGTCCCTCCTCTCAGGGTTCCTACATTCTTATGTTTTTTTCTGTCTTTGTTGTCATTCAATAGTGTCCAACTCTGTTACCCCATTTGGGATTTTCTTGGCAGAGTCACTAGAGTGGCTTTGCCATTTCTTTCTCTAGCTCATTTTACAGATGAGGAAACTGAGGCAAACAGAGTTAAGTGACTTGCCCAGGGTCACACAGCTAGTAGATGTCTGAGGCTGGATTTGAACTCATGAAGGTCAGTCTTCCTGACCATGCCCAGTGCTCTATCCTTCCATCTGCCCAGTTTCTAGCTAAGCCAAGACCTGCTTTTCTTTCAAGTAGGCCCTGATTTCCCTCCCTCCATCTCTCCATCTTCTGAACTAGTATGGTATTTTGTCTCCCCCTGCCCTCCCCATTGCACTCATAGTTTTGAGTGCACTCAACCTGTGATCAGGAACACTTGGGTTCAAAGCTGGCCTGTGATACTAGCTGTGTGACCCTGAGCAAATCACTTAACCTTTGTTTGCCTCAGTTTCCTCAGCTGTACAATGGGGATAATAAAAACACCTACCTTGCAGGATTGTTGTAAGAATAAAATATGATGATATTGGTAAAGCACTTTGCATACATTAAATCACTACATAAATACTACCAATTATTAGCTATTATTATCTCCCCCACAATACTGTAGGCTCCCAGAGGGCAGGGACCAATGTCCCAGGTATCAGCACCGATCACCAAGCCTCACGTGTAGGTTGTCAGTATATATTTGAAGAATAAATGAGCATCTTCATGGGAACCCCCAGGTACTCCCCACTGATCTTCATCCATCTGCATTTCAGATTGTTTTGGAGGGGACCAGGGGGAGGGGCTCAATATCCACTGACATTAAACTCTGGACGAAATCAGAGCAAAGAGGGAGAAAGCCCTGAGACCTTCCCCTCCAAGAGGGATGCCCACCCTGCTGACCACATTCCAGCCATCTGCTCTTCCCCAACCCCCAGGATGTTTTTAATTTAGCTCTGCTCCCAGATAGCATTCAGCTCAGCATCACAGAACCCTAGATCTTGAACCAAAAAGGACCTTAGAAACTAGGGCCCAGAGTAGAGAAGACTTCTTTAAGGTCATGCAAGAGCTAAGCAGCTAACCCAGGATTTGAACCCAGGTTCTCTGATGCCGAACCCCAAACTTGATGAACACTTTGGCCCCATGGAAAGAACCCAAGACTCCAAGAAGGAAGTCTGGGTTTCAATCTGGTTCTACCCCATCTAGCTTTTTTCAGTCACTTCTGGCTCTCCCTGACCCTATTTGGGATTTTCTTGGCAAAGATCCCACTGAAGTGGTTTACCATTTACTTCTCCAGTTCATAATACAGGTAAGGAAACTGAGGCAAACAGGGTGAAGTGACTTGCCCAGGGCCACACAGGTAGTATCTGAGGTCAGATTTGAACTCAGGTCCTCCTGACTCCAGGCCATAACTCTATCCATTGCACCACCTGGCTGCTGGTTATTGGCCCCCAAGAAGGAACTTGGAGGTCATCTAGTCTCGTCTCTTCATTTTACAAGTGAGGAAACTGAGGCCCAGAGAGTCTCAGTGATGCCCCAGTGACTTAACCAGATTGTAAGTAACAAAGCCAGGATCTGAACCTTGATCCTTCTGTGACTCAGCTTCCTCATCTGTAATGCTACCTGTCCTACCTTCCTTCCAGGAAGATCATAAAGAAAAGCAGCTGTTCATCCATGCTGGCCCTGGGATCCCAGCAACCTGGCCCTCTCAACAGTAACATAATCCCCCGAAATCACCCAGGAAAGGTTTTGTGAGAGGAGTAGATCAAAATGTACCGCCTGGCAGGGGAGGGCAGGGGCTGTGCTAAGCCTGCCCATCTCACATGACTGCTTTCCGTCTCTGAAAAGATCTCACTGAAGAGAGAGAGAAAGGGAGAGAGAGAGAGAGAGAGAGAGAGAGAGAGAGAGAGAGAGAGAGAGACAGCTCAGTAGCAGAGCTCCTGCCAAAAAGCTACGCATACTTGTCAGCATGTGCAGCCTTCGAGATTCAACTAGCTTCCCCCGTGCCCGGCCGGCACTCATGGCTCAGAGAGATATGGGGATAAGGGTGCCCCCCGAGGCAACAGGGCTGTACCGAGCCATGCTGGTCAAATCAGGTAAGAGCAAATATGGTGTGGGGTCTTCTCCCCTACTTCCCAGCTGGGGAAAGAATGTTTGCCTGCTTCCCTTTGCAGGTGTCCACCTGGGCACCTGTCCTGGCCCATACTGGCATTTCCCTGGGCATCTGCATAGTGCTAGAGAGTTCTAAGTTGGGATCCCAGCCCCACTAGGGATATGTGATTTCTTAATATGACTGATTTTAAAAGATTGCTGGCACTTCTCCAACTGTGGGTATTATGATTATCAAGGGAATATTTCTTTAGTTTCTTTCCTTTTTTTTTCCTAACAAGTCCTATAGTACAGGTAAGGAGCTCCTAGTTCTAGAAAAAATAGCTTGTCTTTTAGAAAGAGGAAAAGGGAAAGGATGATTCCTGTTTCTTTTACATTTTTACGATTTTATTTTGAGAGATATGTTTTCAGTAGCCCTCATAATCCTGCAGGCTCAACCTTCTAACTCAAAAACCTGCTTCATGAGAAATCAGCCAGTGCGCCTCGGTCAAGGGCAAAGAAGCAGATCCAGCTTTGTAACCAAGTGAGGCACCCTGAGCTCCCGACTGGGGCCCTGCCAGCTGTGTGCACTGGAGCCCAAGGCTAGCTGGGGCTTTTTTGTGTTTGCTCCTGAAGCCTGGGGAAACATCAAACCAAGCAAAATTGGAGGGATTCGGTCTGAGTCAGTGGCTCCTGGAGTCAATCATCCCAGGACATGCTGAGAATTGCTAAAGATAACTCTGAAGCTTGCGCCGGGACACAAGCTGATGCTGCCTTGAGAGTCCAAAGCAGCCTTTCTGGGGTGGTGAATCAGTTAGCCTGTACTGATTGAATGTCCACTGTAGAGTTCTGGGCTGGGTGCAGGGAATGAAAAAATAAAAACAAAAACACTTGGAAATCATGGAATGCTCAAGCTGGAAGAGAACCCTCCCTCCTCCCCATTTATATTCATTTGGCTACTGAAATTCAGCAAAGTGAAGGGACATATACGGGAGCAAGCAGCTCCTTAGTGGAAAAGATGGGACTAGAATGTTAAGCCCCAGATCAGCAAACTAGTGTTTTATTCAGTGTCTTTTAAAATTCAATTCAAATTCCACTTCCTCCAGGAAGCCTTCCTTGATCTCCCCAACCCCCTTCGCCCCCCAACCCCTACACACTCACACTCACCTTATCTAACAATGGAATCAACTGCCTAAGGAGTTAATGGGTTCTCTCCATACTTGAGGTGTGGAGGCTTTATGTAAAGAGAATTCTTGTTCAGGTATGACTTAGATGAAGTGGTTAAGGTCTCTTCCAATGCTGGGACACTTTCATTTTCTGTGATTCTTTAATCAGGCATATACATTTCTAAAATTATATTCTGGACATAAGTCCCATCCCTTCAAGTCTCAATCCTATAGATGAAGACAAAATGTCTCCTTTCCTCGGACTCTCTCACTCATCTTGCTTATGACCCATAATTTGTGCTCTTGTGTATGGACCTCTGTGGCCCCAGGTTCTATTGCTGACTTCTTTCTTGCATTTTTGACTCCTGAGAATTACCAGGCATCTCTACTACTATCTGTGACCATGCTCTGTGGTCCTGAGATTGGGAATATGTAAAGGCTGTTTTCTCCTTCCACTCTCCCCCTTTCCAGTTTTAGGTCCCTTTCTTTTATTAGCATTGCAAATATCTGAGTAAATATGCTTTTCTAACCCTTATTATGTACATACAGTCCATCCCTAGCCAAGAGTGTATCATACCTACATTTTAAGCCCTGATGCAAAAATTAATTTTGGTTTGTTTTCAGATAAACTATTCTTAAGTAGCTGTTCACTCCTCAAGTCTGTCTTTCTCTTCCAAAACTCCTGTTTTGTTTGAACTCTCCCCCAAACCCCTCCAAATACCTGTAAAAAATGGCTCTAAACAAAACTCCTGTTTTAATGGACAAACATGATGAAAAGTCCCCTGGGGCCCCTAAGGCCTTCACTTTCTTGCCCAGGACTTCAAGATCCCCACCATGCTTGCTAACTTTCTTATGGTAGTATAATGTGCCCCGCGATGAATCACTGGAAGTGGGGAGTGAGTTTGCCCACTCCCATCATGGCTATGTGCACCTGATGCAACAGAGGCTCCTTGAGGGTGAAGACTGTTTCATTTCTGCCTCACTCTCCTCAGAGCCTAGAACTGTGCCTGGCACATAGTAGGTACATCCAAAGGCTTGCTGACTGACTGACTGACAGTTTGGCAAACAGCTGCCTTTGGTTTCCTCAGCAGAGTCACCAGCCACCACTCTCCTTCCTCTGACCCAACAACCTCTCACCTGGCAGGGCTTTGGAGCCCTGCCTCCTCTCAAGATGGCTCAGCTCAGCCCTCTGCAGGCAGAGTCCATCACCTAATCCTCATCTCCCCACATTTGTCACTCATATTGTCCTTAAATTATAATATAACATAACATAACATAATATAATTAATATAATGTGATGTGATATGATACAATAATATATATTATGGTTATTATACATGTTATATGTGGTTGTTATTTTCTTCCACCCTCCCATCCCCTGACACACATCAGGGCACCTGGTTCCCTCTTCAGCTCCCTCTTCTTTTGTTTTTGTTTGTTTGTTTTTACTTTGAAGTCCTTCCACTTTTAAAGGCATATTTTTACATCCCTTAGCAGGAAAGAGATTCCTTTTTTCTTTCAACTTTTGTTGTAGAAGAAAGACTAGCCCGAACTCTTTGCATTCATAGTCATTCCCTCACCATGGCAGAAGGACCAAAAGCACCCAGCCTCTCTGCAGGCCAATACGGGCGCCCTTCTCTCCCTCCCCTCCCATCCTCTAAGCATCAGAAGAGGGGTGCTGGAGAGAAGGTCTCTTCCTGGCACAGGGTGGACCAGCTGACTTCTGAGAGTCCCCTCCACCTCAGACATCCTACGCTCCCTGGTACTGTAATAAACAGTGTGTGGGAGTTTAGGGATGCTAGCTTTTAATCCGAGGTTGGAAGCCCAGTGACTTTAAGAATGTAGTCTTGAGACGATGCCGTGTAATGGGGTCAGTTATAATGACCACCCTTGGTCCCAAGGGGCCAGAGATGGGGGAATGGAACATTGCATGGACAGTTAGACGCAGTTGATACATTGGTTAGTTTGCAACTGTTCTGGCCTTGAATCAATATAAAACTAAGAAATGACCCTCATCCCCAGAGAGAGCTATCAGAACTTTAAGATGGAGATTAGGTCTGAAAAAGACCTGGGGGTTTCAGTGGGCCACAAGCTCAGTCTGAGTCAACAGTATATGGCAGTTAAGTATTAGACTACATTGAGAAGCCGGAGTGCCCAGGACTGGGTGGGTGATCATTCTCTTGTTCTCTGCTCTAGTCATACCATGTCCACAGGACCATATTCTGTTCTGGAGCCTTTAGGAAGAATGTTGGCAATGTGGAGAATGTCCAGGGGGATCCACCGGGCCAATGAATGACCCTGAGATCATGACAGATGGGGATTATTTGAAGGAGTAAGTGAGAGTTTTGGATGGGAGGAAAGGAGATGAAGAGTCATATTAATTACTGCATTCAAGCATCTGAAGGGCTTTCACACTGAAGGGTTCTGATTGTTCTGATTGGCCCCGGAGGACAGGAAAGAAGGAAACAATCATTCATTAAGCCCCTACTATGTTCCAGCCACTGTGCCAAGCGCTTCACAAATGTTACGTCATTTCAGACTCACAACAATCATGGGAGGTAAGGACCATTATTGTCCCCATATACAAATGAGGAAACTGAGGCCAAGAGAAATTAAGTGACTTGCCCAGGGTCACACTGCTACTAAATGTCTGAGCTCAGATTTGAACTCAGTTTTTTCTGACTCCAGGCCCAACACCCTAGCTGTCCTTAAGCCAGAACAAGGTATGATGGATAGAGGATGAAAAGTGCCAAATTTCAGCCTGATGAAAGACAAAAAAAAAAATCCCGACATCGAGAGTTTTATATGAAAGATGGATGGCGGCTTCAGGAGGGCATCAGTTTCCCTTCACTGGAGCACTGCAGGCAAGGTGTCCACCTACTGTAGGGGATTATTGTCCAAGTTTGCACTACGCTAAAAGGCCAGCGGTCATTCCAATGCTGAGATTCCGTGATTCTCATCTTCAGGGTCCTGCTACAAATACCCTGATACTGTCACACAGCCAACTCTGGCGGCTCCTTCCAGTTTTTCCTTACCAGACATGGCCTTCTACGCTCTCCCTATCTTCAGTCAGTATGGAAAAGCTCTTGTTAGCTCCTAACACATCTGCATCTGCAGAGTTTGGAAAGCTACCTCCTCCTCTGGGGTTACTCTGACAGGGAATGAAATGAGGGGCTTGGATTCAATGGCCTCAGAGGTCCCATCTGGTTCCAGATTCCTGTTTGTGACCTTGGGCAAGTCAAGTAATTTTCATTGCCTCAGTTTCCTCCTCTGTAAAATGAGGTGGCTGACAGATTTATGCAACCACTAATTTCCATTTTAAAGACCCCTGTTATCCATGATCCTATGACAATCCCTACCTCCATGCATCTTCAATCTCTCCTTCAATGGCCTCCTTGTTCAAGTCTCATTTCTCTTCAAACAAAAGCAACAAATAAATTTTAAAAACACAACCCTATTTCCTGAAACCTAGGTTTTTCGCCCACCTCCTACCCACAAGCCACCTCTTCATCTCTTTCACTATCAGACTTTTTGAAAGAGTAATCTCCACCTCGCTACACCTTCTGGCTTCCATCCTTCACACTGGACTGAAAAACTCCTCTCAAAGGCCACCAATGGCCAAGTGGCCAATCAAGTGGTCAGTGGTCAAGTGGCTTCTTCTTCCCTCCCTGCATCTGTCAGCAACATTTGGGCTGTCAACACCAGCCTGCTTCTTGCTACTTTCTTCCTTTCCCTTTCTATAATGGGTTCTGTCTCTGCCACTGATCATTCTCTGCCCCGCTCAGCATTTCTCTTCTTGCTGCCCTGTGACCCTGGCTGGTTCTATCTATCTGTCCTCCATA